AAAAACAAATCTATTTCCACCTGAAGGCTGCTAGCTAATATAAAGCATATTCTTGTCCTTGGGCTAATGTCTTTCTGACACTAACCAGCTAGTATTGATGCTAGCTTTTTGTTGGCCAGGAGCCATAACATCCCCACCAACAAGAAACTAACATAGGCTAGAATTAAGACAGCATGAGAAAGATGATTTAAAGATAAGAAAATAAATGAGGGGACACCATGATTCTAAGCACATAATAGGTATTCAAATATATGGTGAGTAGATGAATAAACACACTTTGTAAAGCTTTATAAAGGATGAGTAAGGAAAGCAGGTCTCATAAAAGAGTATTCCCAGGTTTTTATATTTCAAAGACCAATCATTGGTTTTGGTTTTTAATTTGGGAAGGAGAAAGTCAACACAGGATTATTAACTTTTTATTTTATCCCATAAAAACATTTTAATAAAACTGTCATCTCTATCATTATATGTTTATAAGATAATAGACCCTTTGACACCAACAAACAAGGAAGAATATAATCACAGAATAAGGGGCAATCTTTCCAAAGAAAGAATCCAAGAATCCTGAGCGCATTGGATAGGGATCTTCATTGTACATTATAGAACCCCCCTCTAGCTAGTCCAAGCACAAAACACTATATTACAGAATCTAGATAGTTCATGAATAATTGGAGGGGCTGAGGGAACAGACTCTAAGCAAAACTTCCCCAAACCACACCACAGAACCAGGGCACCGAGGAACCTGCCAGCTATGGAAGGTGCTGCCATAGCTGCTGGCTCCTGGACTTCAGCTCCTCAAAGCAAGCACCAGTCTCACGCCCTGTTCAACTCCCCACACTATGTAATGTCAAATCAAGGTCCTACATGAGTCCGGCTCTGCAGAACCTAAACAAATCTAGATCCCCAGGAGCCTGGGAATGTGGGTTTTCAGCCTCTGCAGTACAGGAAGGCATGGGGGGCTGGAGAAGGCACAGAGCAAATCAGTTCACCGCTGTTGGTGAGCTTTTGCTGCATTGATCCTGCTGGATTGTACAGGGATCAGAGGGATGTCCTGAGGGATGTGTGCTGTCATGCTTTATTGAGATGGTTCTGAAGGTCATGGAATAACACTAACACCTGCTGATGTCATGGCTCTTTTTGTGAAGAGACTGCTGCCTGGGGCCGCAGCCTTAACTACACCCTGGCTGTAGTGGAACTCTGTCATAGTCATGGCTGTCCATCAACTTTTGAATATTTTTCCATATTTGGGAATATTTGCATGTAATGAATCCTACCTCCCCAATATTAAAATCAGAATTCAAATTTCCAGACTCCTTTGCAGCTAGAATTTGGCATGCAATCAGGGCGCTGACAATCTGAAGTCCATGCTTGAGATCAATTCAGAAATGGACAGGGTGAAGAAGCAGGCAGTACAGTGCTTGGAGTTCCCATGTTTGCTGACATGGATGGCAGCAGAGACCTTAGCTTTCAGAGGTGGCAGTGAAGTCTGGTTCCCAACTTGGAAGTGGCAGCCATAGTAACACCAGTTTCTTCCCCTTGGGCTAGTTGTCCAGCACAGTTTAGGGCCTCGTTGCTGGAAGCTTTACCTCAATTTTATTTCTCAGCCTTCCAAATTAATATTCATGCTTCAGAGTAAAGTCTCCTGGCTGCCTCAGCAAGGAAGAGTGACTTGTGTTGTCAGCCACCAAGAACCCACCTGATGTGCTGGGTGAACCAGGAACACCTGACCCAATCCTTAGCCTCTCCATCCCACTGCAGTGTGAGCCATTCCTGCAGCAGAGAGGGTCTGCCTGGACCTCATCCATGTCCTCCTTGAGTCAGGTGTGGAGAGGGACGGAGGAAAAGTGCCCTTCTCTCTGATTGCCACCATCCCAGGAGCTGCTACAGAACAGGGGTGCTTTTCTTCATTGAACTCTTATCACCAACACTTTGTGCAGGGTGGGTAGTCAGCAAATATTGGATGGATGGATGAATGAATGGTCAAGCACACTATAAGTTATGCCCAGCGGGATCCATAATCTACACCTGCGCTGTCCATTACAGTACCCACTAGCCATAGAGCTGCTGAGCACTTGAAATGTAGCCAGGACAATTGAAGAACAGCACTTTTCTTTTATTTCAACTGGTTGAAATCTTTAAATGTATACCTAATTGTATTTTTGAAACACTTTCAGCTTAACTTTTGTATGTAAATGTACTTTTTCTGCTATAAGTTTTATGAAAGCTAAATACAGATCAAATATTTCCAATATAAATTTAGCACATTTTCAATACAAATGGAGATGTGCTGTAATTGTAAAATACTCACAAATCCCAAATACTTTATGAAAAAAATAATGTAAAATATGCCACTAATAATTTTATATTGATTACATGTAGGAATTAGAATACTCTGGATATGTTAGATTAAATAAAATATTTTATTAAAACTGACTTCACAAAAAATAAACATGAATGATTTGTAAAAAACAAAACTGACTTTACCTGTTTCTCTTTACACTTTTTGATGTGACACTAGAAAATATAGAATTAAATATGTGGCTTTTATCCTATTTCTGTTGGACAACACGGATTTGGACACTGGATGCATGTCACTCAGCAGGCAGTCAGGGTGCTGAGGACACGTTTCCGCTGAGCACAGGAGCCTCCTGGGATGGGGAGCCTTTTTTCTGCCCAAGGCCATTTGGATATTTATAACATCACTCACGGGCCATACAAAATTATCAACTTACAAGTTAGCCTGCTATATTTGGTCAAACATTTAATTAACTCACCCCTATGCCTGGGCAGGGTCAGACCAAATGATTTCATGGGCCTTGGGTGGGCCGAATATTCCCCACCCCTGAGTCTATCCCTGCAGATCGAGGCCTGAGCGCTCGTGCTCATACCCCTCCCAGCTCTAAACCTAACTGGAAGACGTGTAGGCATGGGCTTCCACATCATGCATAAAAGCAGAAGTCACAAATTTAGTGTTTTTAGGGACCAGGCAGATGACTTACCAGGAAAGGGCTGGCGGTAAGGTCACAGGCAGTGACCACTGTTCTATTTAAAGCCAATACACAGCCCTCACCGGTTTGGCTCAGTGGATAGAGCATCGGCCTGCAGACCTAAGGGACCCAGTGTCAATTCCTATCAAGGGCATGTACCTCAGTTGCAGACTCCTCTCGGCCTGGGCTCTGGTCAGGGCGTGTGCAGGAGGCAACCAATCGCTGTGTTTCTCTCACATCGATATTTCTCTTTGTCTTTCCCTCTCTCTTCCACTCTCTCTAAAAACCAGTGGAAAAATATCTTCGGGTGAGGATTAAAAAATAAATAAATAAATAATAAAGGCAATACACAAAGAAAATCCCCACGGGTATGTCCCCTGGGTCATCATCTGTGGAATCAAAAGAAGACACTTGGAGAGCCTGGGACATAGTTGCTCCATTCTAAGGGTAGGTAGACTGAGGCCAGAGAGATGAGAGCTTTTCTAACTAGGGCTCCAGCCAGGGCTGAGCGCTGTCTCCATACACTCCCAGGCGTCTCAGCTTTAGGCACCAGCAAATACATGCCAATTGGGTTTGACTGGGGAAAGGCAGGACCCGCGCTACAGGGATCAGGCAGCCTGCCGCCTACCCCAAGATGTCCAAGCCTCCCCTGAGTCCATTCTGACTATGAGGCAGGGAGGAGCCAGAAGGCACTACCAGGGGTGGGCAAACTTTTTGACTCGAGGGCCACAATGGGTTCTTAAACTGGACCGGAGGGCCGGAACAAAAGCATGGGTGGAGTGTTTGTGTGAACTAATATAAGTTCAAAGTAAACATCATTACATAAAAGGGTACGGTCTTTTTTTTTTTTTTTAGTTTTATTCATTTCAAACAGGCTGGATCCAGCCCGCGGCCGTAGTTTGCCACGGCTGCACTAACCCCATCAGAAACCCTCCTGGCCTCTGTTCACATTTCCAGAAGGCTTGAAACTCTTAAAATGATTTGTTTCAAGGTAGGGAGGAACACAAAATAAAGAAAGAGATGATGGGGGGGAAGGAGGGGAACTGTGCGGGGATTCCAGAGGAGAAAGATGTTCTTATCAGAGGGATCCTGAGCCAGGTACCAGGGAAGGAGGCCGAAGCACTGACCTGGAGTAGTGGCTCCGGAGGGGTGGGAGGGTGAGGAGGGTGGGAGAGGATGGGTGGGGCTAAGGGAAGAGGGAGATGGTAGAAGGGCCCCACTTGCTTCTAACAAAAAAGGAATGGGCCTGGCCTACCATGCTGGACCCAGACAACTTTCATACTAGAAGCACCGACTACAAAATGCTTCCTCCAACCGGCCCCCGTTGGTATAATTTTACCAAATAAAACCATGCATTCCCACAACCAAATGGATCAATCTGAGCAAAATACAGTTAGTAACACAGAAAGGCAATTTTCATATTTTATTATACAACAGCGTTCATCATAGAAAAAGGCTTAATGTTTTTTAATTAAATACAGAAGCAAATTGTCCAGTGTTGCCAGAGAGATTGTTCACCTGCCCTTAAAAAAATTAACACCTGTTTGCAAACAAAAGAATTGCCAGAGTCAAACCCTTTGTTCTCTTTTTGGAACCCAGCTATTAATCTCTTCCCATATAGTGCTTAACACAGAGTAGGTACTGAATAAACATTTGTTTGACTGGTGGGGGGTTCTCTAATCCTTGTCCTCCATTTCCTGACCCTAAACCGGATCTTGATTCATGAGGTAAAATCCCCACCCATCCATTCCTAGCATAGCCCAGTGTCTTTCAATAGCCTTTGATATATAACACTGGTTTAGAGACACTTGCCTGAGGGGAATGACTGAGGGTTTCAGAGAAAGAAACGCACAAAGGCAGGCACAGCAACGAAGTAGAGACAAAAAGATGTTAATACGCAGAGTAACAGAGAGCCAGATTAAGGGATGGATAGTGACCGCAAAATGAAGTCATTTAATGCTCACACAGTTTGAAATAAAGAGATAAAAAGGTTGGGCAAGAATGATAATCTTGAAGTTTTTTTTTTTCAGCTTTGATGTTTTATAACAGACATAATGGCAGAGGGAGAGAGATAAGGTATGTATAAGGAGACAAAGGAAGGCAAAGGAGACAGGTAGACAGCCAGGTAGCACTGCCCACCTGTAGATCTGGCCTTGAACCTCTATGGACCCTCACCTCCCACATGTGAGGCCAGGCTGCTTAATGCCTCAGCACATCACACTCACTCCTGGCTCCTCCTCTTCAGTCACCCCCGACCCCTACCCCTACCTAAGCATCTCTGAACCACTCTGCATATTCAAGTCTCTCTCCAACATCCTCCCTGCACCAGGCCATACTCAGCTCCCTCTTTCCTCAACTCCTGAAGCAAACAGTTCACACCACACTCACATCCCCAACTGTAGGAGATGCAGGGTGGGTAAAAGTCTGTTTACAGTTGTTCGTATGGAAAATAATACTATAATTAATAAATAATAATACAAGAATAAACTCTGTTTCCCGTACTCACAACTATAGACCTACATTTGCCTACCCTTCCCCGTTGTTTTAGAGTTTGCCCTCAGCTCATATGAGTACATCTTGACTCCCACACGAGAACTGTGTGCTTGTCAAGACTCCAAATTCCCCCATATATTCCAGGATTCCGCATGATGCCCAGTCCAATGCTGGGTACCACCAAGTGCTCAGTGAATACTGTGGACTGACCAGTCCCCAAGGGGTGTCAGGCTGCAACCTAACAGTCTGTTGGTCTATGAAATAGCTTCTCAGAGGCCTACCATGCGGGTCCATCTCCTGGGCTCCTGTGCCCCCTGCTGCCCAGGAGGGGATCTGCAGGCAGAACAAAGCCAGTCTCAAGGTGGTCCAGACCCTGGGAGGCTGGCAAGGGCAGTCTGGCCTCACAGTGGCCTGAGACATGGTCTGAGGGTTCTGATGAGGTCGGTGGGCACAGCCAGGAACCTATGTTTTCCCAGGGTGTCCAGGCAAACCGCACTGTGGGCCGTGTCCACCCTGCTCTGCCCCAGGAGGCACTCAGAGCTTCACGTCCAGCTCCAGCTCCAGGTCCTGGTTCTCCCAGGTGCCCACACGGACCTGGGCTGGGCTGCCCAGGTAGTTCTGGATGACGGAGGCGCAGTCCAGCCGCTCCATGAGGGTCATGAGGTAGTGCAGCTCCTGTAGGCTGCCGTTCTGCTCCTCAAACAGCTCCAGGATGGCCGCAGCAGGGCTGCGCTGGCAGGACAGGAACCTGGCCACAGATGTGGGGAGGAGGGCAGAGGAGGGAGGGACCCTCGGTGAGAGCCACACCCTCCCTCAGCTCTGCTGCTCATCGGGCTCCTACCTGCCTTCCAGGAGACTCAAGGTGGGGGGAGGGAGGGCCCAGGACTTTGAAATCTGAGCTTGCCCTGGCTCAAAAGTCACTCCTCTTGAAGCCTGTTTCCTCTTCTGACACTGAGGGCTTGGATGAGAGGACCTCGAAGGGGACTATTGTCCTCTCTGCACCTCCCTCCCCTTCCCCACTTCTCCCCTCTTCCTTCCTCTCTCCAGGCCACAGCATCCTGCTCACCACTTGGGAAGCAGTGGTTCCTGCTCAGAAACCTTCCAGAGTCTCTTCTGCCTATTAACCGAGCCCACATCCCTGACTTTCTGGCTCATCCACCACTTGGCCTCACCCTGTTTTGTTTTGTGGTTTGTTTGGGGTTGTTGTTTTTTCTGGAACTTTCCTTCCTGCTCCCATCCTGAGCCTTCCTTCTTCAGGCTATCCATTTACCACTGTGCACACAGCCCACCCCCACCCCTTGCTGCTCCCCCCAAACAGAATGGCGGGTCCCCCTTCCCACCTCCCTGAAGCTGTGGGCAAGGAGACCATTCTGCACCCACAGTTCAGACTCCTGATCATAACTTTCGCAAGTCGTTATGATTCTTGCTTTAGCTATTTGGTGCTTCTATCTGTTTTCAACCTGCTCTGCAATGTAGGATCCATGCAGTAAGGCACAAGGAACACTTGTCTTTATTTTGTTAAGCTCTTTGTATCCCTTATTAGACTGTGAGCTCCTGGGGGCTGGGACCATCTTGTGTCCCAAAGCTGAGAATAGTTTTCCAGGACAAAGTAGGTCCTGGATAAATGTTTAATAACTGGGTGATTTAAAAATCCACCCTGTCTTCAGCTGGGCCCAGCTCCAGTCCCATCTCCTGGGCGAATGAAGTCTTCCCTGAGCACTTCTCTCAGAGTCTGGGTCCTGGGGCTTAGCTCAGATTTGTTCTCCCACTGGTCTCTGGACAGGGACCATGCCAGCATTGCCTCCATCATTGCCAACACCCATTAACATGTGCCAGGCGCTCAGTACCTGCTTTACACGGGTTCTCTTGTAGTCTGCCTTTCTATCCCTCGGGCACAGTATGTCAAGCACTCGATATGTAACTTACATGCTAGTTGATTCATTTTTTAGTATTTATTGGGGACCTACTTGGAGCCAGGCATCATTCTGGATGCTGACAATACCGTGACAAGTAGAAAGAGCTGCCCCTTTTATGGCGATAGGGTGGGAGTAGCCATTCTCTCCCTTCTCTGTGGTCTGAAACCCCCCTCTCCCATGGGCAGATCTTGCCCCTCTTACCGGATCTTCATGCCACAGAGCCCCAGGTGGGAGGCCAGTCTCCTCCAGTCGTTGCCTGTGATGCTGTTCGGCTCCAACAACATCTGCAGCTGCTCAAAGAGCTCAGGGGGCAGCCTGAGCCCGGGCGGGGGGGAAGGGTATTCTCAGAGGGGAAGACCAGAGACCCAGTCTGGTTCTACACACCCCACATGCCGTACTCGCCTAGAGGCGCTGGGGTGAATCCCGAACACCCCCCCGGCAACAACCCAAGCAGCCCCACCTCACCTATTGCATGGGGGCGGCTGGGAGACAGGGGGTGGCGCTGCCCAGGACTCCTCCTCCGAAGCCTGAAACCTGAGGATTTCCATGTACTTGGTCTCCAAGCCCTGCGCCAGCAGAGGGGCCAGAAACACAGTTAGGGACCAAGAAGCTGGGGAACCCTCCTCCATTTCTCATGTCGTCCTCCAGCCTGACAATCAGAGCCATGTTACCAGGAGATGCCGCCCTCCCGCACCCAGGGCCCCCATCCGTTGCTTCCCTGACCCCAGAACCTTCAGCCTTAAGTTTGCCTGCTGAGCTCTTTGGGACCTGGGACTTGAAGACCAAGCAGGGTGCATCCTTAGACACCAGAAGTCCCGGGCAGGTTCACCCAGAAATACACTGAACTCAGCCATACATGTCCCCTTCCCTCCACCCCTCCTTTCCTGGGTTCCTTCCCCATTCATACCCCTAAGGGGTATCTGCCTGCTCTCCACCAAGAAGCCACCATGGTTCCCCCAAGACTCTCAACCCTGATTTCTTCCCATCTTCCCTTGAGAGAGTGGGATAGGCTGCTCACATCCCACCCACTGACGACCCCCTCCTGGCCACTCTCCACACTGGAGATGCTCAGCAGCATCTCTCAGATGGAGACCATCAGCCTAGAAAGAAACCACTTCTCTTTGATGCCCAAGTGCCCCTGGGTTGAGAGAAGGTTGTGTTCTTTTACTCTCCTACTGGATTCATCCATGAACAGATAAGAGAGAGTCAGGAACGAAGGGCAACTTGGAGGCCCGGTGCCATCTTACCTGCTTGATCAGGGCCATACATACTGGGCACCAGACCCCTCTCCCACTTTGCCCAGCACTCCTCCCAGGCCCTGCCCTCCCGCTGCCCTCAGCTCCCACTCACATCCTGGAAGGTGTGCATGGTGACGATGATTTCATTGGTTAGTGCCGAGCAGTCCTCGTTCTCATTGGCTACAAAAGGGAGAGGACAGTGCAGGTGAGAGAGGAAAAGACCTGGCATGAGAGAGCAGGAGACTTGAAGGGACTTTGGAAATCTGAAGAAGCTGGGCAAGACCATCCATCTTTCTCTCTGCAAAGATCAGCGTGGCTCCTCACCTTGAACAGGCCTGGAGCATGGCCGGATGCCAAGCGGCTGAGCTCCAGGGTGACCAGTGGGGAGGGAGGGGAGGGGAGGGGAGGGGAGGGGAGGGGAGGGGAGGGGAGGGGAGGGAGGAGGACAGGAAGTGGACCCGGCGCCTGACTACCTGCTTTCCTCCGGAAGCAGAAGGAGCGGAAGGGGCACTTCCCATGCCAGATGTGGAGATGAGGAACCACCTGGGAAGTGCTGTCATCCACGTTCTCCCAACCTGGGGAGGGGACCGAGAGCGGAGGCCTCAGAGAGCAGGGCCTTCCACGGGGTGGCAGGCGCTGTGCGGGGTGCAGTGGTGAGGGACCAGGAGCAGCAAAGTCAAGTGAATGGGAGTCCCAGAGCCTGGGCAGGGGACCCTGTGAGTGGTCTTCCTTCTACCACCACACACAGCTCACAGATCCCTCCACTCTTGTAACCCCCACCCTTTCATCCACTACCCCCAGAAGCAGCCACGCATGTGTGCCCGTGCAAATGCCCTAGGTCCCAGGGGCAATTCCCAGAGCCCAGGCCACACAGGAAAGAGGCCCAAGCAGAGAAGACTGGGACCTCCCTCCACACCAGCTCCATCCAGGTGGAACAATAAAAGCCTCGCCTCTCCTCCCCTCCTCCCACTTTGCATCACCCTGTCCTCCCACGGAGGGACCAGGGCTGAGTGAGTCACAGATAAAGGAAGTGGGCAGAGCCTGGGGACTCCTTGAGGCAGCAGCAGAAGCCCGAGGGGCCCCCCTGGAGCCTGCCCACGAGTCTCTGAAAGGAACCTGAGGCTCCCACATTTCTACCCCGGGGAGGCCCAGACCCCTGGCTCGAGTGGGGCTCCCTCCTGCCCTGTGCAGGCCTCGCTCACCCTCAGAGATGTACTTGAGCTTTAGGCACTGGTCCCCTCTGGCCCCGGTGAAGTCGAAGAGCTGGCAGGGCCCGCGCAGGCGCCCGCCGTGGGGCTGCTCGTTGGTCAGGGCCCACTGCAGGGCACAGGGCGTGTTGTTGAGGAAGTAGACGCGCAGCTGCAGGTGGCTCTGCCCCGGTGCCAGCGGCGAGCAGAACACCGCCAGCTGCAGCCACTTGCGGGCTTCCTGGCCCGAGGGTGCCTCCAGCACACACGTGTAGAGGCTGTGGAATAGAGGGAGACCGTGGCAGGGACTGGTGTGGAGGCCCTCTGCGGGGGCCTCCACAGAGCCGAGAGAGCAGGCCAGGGTGTGCATAGGGAGGACGTGGGCAGGTGGAGTTGGTAGGGGGACAAAAAGTGAGTCACGCGCAGTGACCATCAGAGTATGGAGAAGAGCCGGCAAACATTTCGGCAAAGGACAGTGGGACAGCGGGCTCAGGGCCACCAGGCTTTGGAAGGGCCCACAGATGGCTGGTCCCACTCTGGTTAATGGGTCGCAAGGAGAAGGAGAGGAAGAAGGGCCTAAGATCCTAGAAAGACAGAGCTGCCCTAGCCGGTTGCTCAGTGGTTAGAGCATTAGCTTGCTGACTGAAGGATCCTGGGTTTGATTCCCATCAAAGGCATGTGCCTCAGTTGCAGCCTAGATCCCTGCCCCTGGTCAGAGCACATTCAGGAGGCAACCAATAGATGTATCTCTCTCACATAGATGTTTCTCTCTCTGTGTGTCTCTCCCCCTCCCTTCCACTCTCTCAAAAAAATCAATAGAAAACCTCGGGTGAGGATTAACCAAAAGAAGGAAAGAAAGACAGAACTAAGGACAGACAAGAGATGGGCTGGTGTCTTAGGGCATCAGAGGGGACAAACGTGCCCTAGGCAGTTGGGGGACAGCCCTGAACAGGGGCACAGGGTATAGACAATCTTAGAGAGACAAAGGTAGCGATGAGACAGGGCCCCTCCAGAAAGAGAGCTGGGTTGAAGTCAGGCCTCCTAAACAGGCAGAGAGACCATGGTGGGGGGCGGGGGGGGGTGCAGTCCTGGACAGGGTTAGAGTGACACGAGCTGTCCTACACATTAGGACAGAGGGACTGAGAAGGGACACGGGGAAATAAGGGATTTGCAGGCCACCTGGGACAGATAAAGGGGCAGAGATGAGGATGGGGTGGGCAGAAAAGGGGGGCAGAAAGGAGAGGCCGAGGGGCTGGTGCCCACCTGAAGTGGGAGAGCTGGATGCGACACTCGTCCAGGGAGGTGTGGACCCCCGACTTCCCCAGGGGCTTCCAGTCTTTAGTGTCGAGCAGGTCGGTGTTGCTGCTGTAGGTGCGGGCGTGGCTGGGCATCTGCGCACAGTGCTTGAAGGTGAGGGTGCAGGGCTTCAGGAAGGAGGCCCCATGGGGTCCACACGCCACCACGGGGCTCACCAGCGCCTGGTCTCGGGACAATGACGGGCCATCCGACAGGTCCCACACCAGGATCAGTGACACCCGCTCCTGGCGGCCCACGGCCACAGCACCTGGGGAGACGGAGAGCTGGGATGGGATGGACAAATGGACAAGCAGGCACACCCTGCCCCAGGGGAGGCCAGGCCAGCCTGGGAGGGGAGGTGGGATGGGAGTCCAGGTGCCCACATGGAAGGCAGTACAGATGGAGACAAGACAACTGTGAGCTGACGTGTGGTGTAATCCTGGGCCAGTCACCAGCCTTCCATGCAGGGCCGCCGCTGGCCCATACAGGGCCTGAGTGAATGTGCAAGAAGTGGTCTTCCTCCACTTTCCCTTCTCTTTATTGGAGGACTGTTCATTAGAGCAAGCACCTTAATCCCACCTGCTGGGAAGTTGTCTTTGAGGTCAATAAAGTCACACTCAAAATGTGAACAATTTTCAGCGTGGCTCAGTGGTTGAGCATCAACCTATGCATAGTTCAGTTCCTGGTCAGGACACATGTCCAGGTTGTGGGCTCGATCCCCATTGCGGGGTGTGCAGGAAGCAGCCAATCAATGATTCTCCCTCATCATTGATGTTTCTATCTCTCTCTTCTCTTCCTCTCTGATATTGATAAAAATGTATTTTTTTAAATGTAAACAATTTTCAAAAGTAGGAAGGTGTCTGACTGCTCCCTTCGATGTGGTGCCCTGTGCCACACGCAGTCTGAACAGCTCCATGCTGAAAAGTGAGCTCGCGCTGTTACCTGGCGGGATGAGCAGCGAGATGCCCGTGTCCCGCAGTATCAGGCAGCCGCCACGGTGATCCACCTCTCGAGCCGAAAATACCAGCAGCTTGTGCATCAGCTGACGGGTGACGGTCTGGCCCTGGGTGGGCGTGTGCAGTTCCCGGTAGAAGGCGGCCATCTCCGACAGGACGGCCGGTGGGTACTGGTGTGGGGACTCATCTTTGGGTAGGGGAGTGGGATCAGGCACTAGCTCCTCTGGCCTGTCCAGCTTCCAGCCAGCCCGCAGCCAGCGAGGACAGTGCCATCGCAGGCACTGGACCAGAAGGAGGGCACTTGCCACCGGAATGCCCACCAGCAGCAGGAACTGGGCAGGTTGGAAGGAATTCTCATGGGAGCTCATCTGCCTGGTCACTGGATGCTGCCAGCTCCCCTGCACCCCTGTAACAACCAAGGCCAAGGGCAGGGGGTTAAAGAAGTCAGTGCCAAGCTAACCCTTTTCAATGTCGTAGAGGCCAAGACTTGGCGTCCAAACTCCTGCGATGATAGAGCAAACTGTCTATATTCCAGCACACCCTGCACACCTCAGTCACGGCAGTTCCTGTAACACAGCGGTTCTCAACCTGTGGGTCGCGACCCCTTTGGGGGTCAAACGACCCTTTCACAGGGGTCACCTAAGGCCATCGGAAAACACATATATAATTACATATTGTTTTGTGATTAATCACTATGCTCTAATTATGTTCAATTTGTAACAATGAAAATACATCCTGCATATCAGATATTTACATTACGATTCATAACAGTAGCAAAATTACAGTTATAAGTAGCAACGAAAATAATTTCATGGTTGGGGGTCACCACAACATGAGGAACTGTATTAAAGGGTCGCGGCATTAGGAAGGTTGAGAACCACTGCTGTAACAGAACGTCATCATCTCTCTTACTCAAGAGCCCACAGCAGCTCCTTGTGACCTAAACCTCAAACTAAACTCCCCTGAGGCAGAGAGAGCTGGTCTTCAGAGCATGTGAGTTCAAATGCACCCTGGTCACTGGCTGAGTGAGCTTGTCATATTGCTTAGGGTGCCTCAGTTTCCTCACCTGTCAGAGTACCTACCTTGATCTACACGTGCTGATATAGAAAAAAGAAATCTTTATGTAGAAAAGCAATTCACCAGGAGTAGACATCCTCTGATTTCACTCATGTAAATAACAAAACTATATAGAAGTATAGATCCATATTTATGGGTGTGTATACAGGAGTGGGCAAAAGTAGGTTTGCATAATGCAAGTAACGAATAAATAAATAATACAAGAACGAACTCTTTTGCATACTCACAGCTGTACACCTCCTTTTGCCAGGCCCGGGTATGAATTGTAGCGAAAGGTCTGGAGCAGAGCTGTGCAATAAAAACGTAATGTGAGCCGCGTGTATCGTTTCACACTTTCTAGTGGCCACAGTAAGAGAGTGCAAAGAAACAGGAGAAATTAATTTTAATAATAGATTCCATCTTACCCGCTATATTCAAAATAGTATCATGCTGGCAGGTAATCGATGTAAAATTATTAGGGTGACAGTTCACATCCTTCCTTCCCAGAAGGTCTGCGTTCCTTACACCCACTGCACATCACATCGGGACTTGCTCTGGGTCCAGTGCTCAGTCGCCAGCCGCATGTGCTGGTGACTCTTGTCTTGGACGTGCAGGTCTGGGAGGGTACACCCCAGCCTTTCCCTGGCCGTCACTGAAAAAGGAGAAATTGGGGGGTGGAAGGTATGAACCAGGACTTTCCATTTTTTTAAACTCTTTTTCCAGTCTCCTCTGAGTTTTTCACACCAGGCATGGATTTCCTATTAACTTTGCAGTTCTTTTTAAAGGCCGTTACAAGTGGGGGAAATCACCTCTCGGAGTGATCGAGAGGCTGGCCTGAGCTCACGTGGAAAGCATTCGTAGGTGATAAAGCGCTATCCAAACACGCTTGTTTATTTATGCCCCTCCTTCTACCTGAAAGGTCGGAAGGGAGCTCGCAGGAGTAACAAAAATTAAAAGTGAAAACAAAAAGAGAAAGAAAAACACAGGTGGGGCCTCCGGGGACTGGAATGAGGCAGGGCTGAAGCCTGTACTGGCCCCCGGCTCACCGGCTGCCCGGCTACACCAGCAGCAGGGCCTTGGACTGGGACCGCCTTCCAGCACCTCCTGCACAGACGCCCGCCTTTCCGAGGCCCCCCATCCTCCCTTCCCTCTTCCTCCTCGATTTCCAACACTCTCCATTCCAGCCAGACTGAGCTCCTCACACCTCGTTCATTCTCGCCTCTGGCTTTTGCTCATGCTGTTGTCTTTCACCCCTCGCCTGTGCTCCCCACCTGCCTCTTCTTCCCACCTGGACCCCTCCCCTCCTCCAGCTCATCGGCCCTACATAGTCTTGTGCCTCCAAAATCTCCCTCCACTGTTTTCCCCACTCAGATGAACGTTTCTCAGGACCAGCTGTGTACCAGGCACTGAGAGAAGTTGTCTTGCCAAAGATGGCTTCGTATTTGGCTCTCAGGTACCTTCTGGGGGAATAGGACTCATTCACTCCACAGTGGATTCCCTAGGGTCTGGCCTCCCCACTCCCTTCACTCAAACCAGCCACGGGGAGCTGAGGCCTCGCCCCAGCCTCCGCTCCTTCACTGCCCACCTGCTTCCTTCCTCCCACGGCGCCCATAGAGCCTAAGCCCCCTTCCTAGCTCCTCCCAGTCTGGGGCAGAAGCTCCTCTATCCTGATGACTGAGGACTGGATGGGTCTGCCTCTCTGTGTCCTCCTTGGGACTGTAGACTGGGAGGGAGGGTGGGGCACTGTTCCCGCTGAGGCCCCAGCTGTGCGGACAGCGCTGCAGGCCTCTCGCAGGGCACACAAGTGGAGCGGGTGAGCTGGCAATACCCAGGCCTGTGGGAATGGGGCCGGGCAGCAAGCTTCCCGTGACGTCCCACCCATGCCTTTGGGATCCTCCACATTAGAGGTAACTGGACTTATAACTGCACTTATAAGGGCTTTGCTCTGCACATGGCGTTAAAGTGCTCTACGTGGCCTCTCTCACCTGCAGCCTTTTGAGCTACTGTTATTTTTATTTCCATTTCACAGATAAGGAAGCCAACTTCTCTCCCCACAGCGAGGATGAGGGGAGATTATTGAGCCACAACTGGAGGCAGAGGGAGGATGAGCAGGGATGACAGGACTTCTAGAAACACTCCCTTTCTCTTCCTGCCTCTTGTGGTTCCCAGGCCTCTTTTCCATTTCTAGCAGAGATGACGTTGGAAGAGAAAGAAATGAAAATAAAGTACAACTAACAGAAGGAACTAAAGGCACATCCTCGGTTCCGCACCCCCACCCCTGCCCATTGAGGTACCAGTGGCCGGGGCTGGGCCAGCCAGAGTGGAAGAAGGGCGAGGCTCTGCTGTTTTATAGCAACCGCCTTCCTGGGGCCTCCAAAGACCAGAGTCCAAGTCGTCTCCACCCCACTGTGGTTCAGCAGAGCCCCTTGCCCGGCCTCCCCACCTGGAGCAGCCGGTATGTACTGACCCCGGAAGCCTCCTGGGCTGCCCACCTGGATCCCATTCACTGCCTGGCCTGGAGCAGGTGAACTCCTCCCCAGCTCAGCCCCTGTCTCCCAGGCTGACAGCTGTCTCCAGGCCTCGGCCCTCTCCCTTCCCCAGGAGGGTCCTGAACGGACAGCACAGCAACCAGCTCGATGGAGACCGGAGCTTCCCAGCCCCGCGCCTGACTCCTTACTACCCTCGCCTCCAGTGTCTCGCCCCAGACCCAGCTCCCCACGACGAAGGTCCTGGAATGCTACCATGGCCTGTCCCTAGGGAGTCACTCCTCCCGTGCAAAGATCCAGGCCCCTGCTGCAAAGCTGAGGAAACTCTCAGCCCCTCCCGCAGGCACTGGTTCTTACCACACCCACTCAACCCTGATAGATCTCGGCGACTGAAGGACATAAAAAGTTCCAACATGGATGGGTCCAAACCTCAGTCCTGGGCAGCATTCATCAGCAGAGCACACCTGTCCACAGTGCATAGCATCAGCCCCGTGGTCCTCACACCCCCTGGGCAGTGGCCGTCTCCCACGCCCCTCCATCCTCGCCTCCTCCAGCAGAAGGTCTCAACTCTGCAGGCTTGGCTGAGTTGGCCTGACTCTTCCCGTGAGCCCTCAGGGGCCCACCAAATGCCCACCCAACCCCAGCTGCCCCAGGGGGGTGCTCACCTTAGCAGGCAGGTGCTCCCAGAGGCTGCCAGCGTACCTGGGAACAGTAGTTTCTTCTCTGAGAAAAAGAGCGGTCAGCCAGGCCCTGTCACCACGCCAGCAGACTGTGTGGTGGGCGGGGAACCAGGCAGGAGTGGCCCATGTTCCCGGCAGAGACCCGCCTCCCAGCCGCCCTCCTTTTGGGGGGGGGGGGGGGTTAGCCCGTCCCTGTCTGTTGGCAAAGTCCAGCCAAGGTCAGGGAGCTGAGGAGGATCCGAGAAGTCAGGGGACTTGCCAGTTAGGTCTGGATGGGAGGGGACAGAGAAGAGATACCCTGGGTACAGGCGCAACCCCTGGTGCAGGAGAACGCCCTCCCTACAGTGCCCTCTGCTGGTGAGTGCCCTGCCCCAGCCAGAGGCTACTAAAATGGCAGAAGGTTAGAGGAGGGAACCTTAACCAGAGCCCCTCAAACTATAATGTGCACATGAACCACCCAGGGACTTTTTTAAAAAATATGTTTATTGATTTTTTTGAGAGAGAGAGAGAGAGAGAGAAAGGGAGAGGGATAGAGAGATAGAAGCATTGATGAGAGAGAAACATCAGCGGGCTGCCTCCTGCACGCCCCTTAGTGGGGTGGGGATCAAGCCTGCAACCCGGCCATGTGCCCTGACCAGGAATCGAGCCGACGACATCTTGGTTCAAGGGTCGATGCTCAACCACTGAGTCACACCAGCCAGGCCCACCTAGGGATCTTGTTAAAATTCAGGTTCTGGTCCCATAGGTTGGGGATGGGGGTGTGAGATTCTGCATCTCTAAGGAGCTCCCAGGTGCTGCCAGTGGGATGACAGAGAGAGAGAGAGGCACAGAGTGACAGAGAGGCACAGAGAGGGTTAATGAATCGCAATTTGCTGGTGGCATTGGGGTGGACCCATACCCCGCCCACACTCCGGCTGGCAGGGACACAGGGAGAGCAGAACTTCAGGCCGTTTGCCACCTGAGTCCTTCCTGAGAAAGTCCGTCTAGGAAAGGTGGTGCCGCTGGAATGAAAGCTCCCTGTGAAAAGGGATTTTTAAAGCTGTTTGCTGCTGTGTCCTCAGCTCCTGGCACAGCCTGACCCAGAGCAAGTGTTCCACAGAGACTTGCTGACTGGATGAGTGGACCAGCTAAGAGAAAAGATGCATTTTGGATCCAGACCACCAACACTGAAGCCCGGTGACCCACCTGCCAGCTAGGTCATCGTAGGCCAGGATCTCAGCCTCTCTGAGCCGAGCCCCTTGTCTGTCAAATGCAGACCATGTCTATCTTGTGAGGGGTGATCATTGTCATTGTTGAGCTAATAAGTCTAAAGAGCTCGACACAAAGTGGGTGCTCAGTGCGCGGTCACTGTTATCGCCATGGCCTGGCCTCCTGCAATTGAGGGACCACTGCGAACCCCCAGCCCCCCAGGTATTGTCTCCCCTAAAAAATATGTAACTGCCACTTTCATCTCAGTTAATGATTCTCTAGCTTCTGACTGCAACCCCACCCCTCTGCCGCCTTCCAGGGCAGGCAGGGAGGGCGGCGGGGGGGGGGGGGGGGGGGGGGGGGCAGGCGGGGGCAGAGGTGAGAGTGTGGGATAAACAGCTCCCAGGTCCCCAAAGTCAAGAGGTGGGCAAAGGAAGGTAGAGAGCAGCCAACCTGGAAGGGGACCTCACGCCTAAAGCACAGGCAAGGGACAGTGAGTGATCAGAACGCTGATGGGGATGAAAGGGGAGATGTCAGTCTTTCCCAGGAAAAGCTCGGTCTGAGTCGCATGGAAGGCTGTCTCCTCGGAGTCATAAAGCTCTAGGGCAGCGGTTCTCAACCTGTGGGTCGCGACCCCTTTGGGGGTCGAATGACCCTTTCACAGGGTCGCCTAAGACCATCGGAAAACACATATATAATTACATATTGTTTTGTGATTAATCACTATGCTTTAATTATGTTCAATTTGTAACAATGAAATTGGGGGTCACCACAACATGAGGAACTGTATTAAAGGGTCTCGGCATTAGGAAGGTTGAGAATCGCTGCTCTAGGGGCTTGTGAAAGACCTGCCAAGCTTGACGCCCAAGCCAGGAAAGGCCCTGCCGACCAACAGGCTACAACCAGGGGCTGTGTCCATGTATCATGAATTCATTTCCAAAATGGCACTTGGGTTCCATCTCAGTTACAGGAAGGTTCTAGAGACACCTGAGGGTCCCTTCCACCCCTGTGGACACAGAGCTGCTTCACGGGATGCAGCTGGGACTGATCTGTCTCAGGAGATGGGGCTCTCACAGAGCCAAAGCTTCAATCACCCATGAAGGGGCCCCTCCAGAGGCCACAACCAGCAGACCAGGGGACCCCGGTCAGAGAGAGCCCTTCAGGGCCATGCAGGCAACAACCTGGGTTCCCCAGCCAAAACCACCACCCTTATCATTGGAGAAAGGCGGGCCACGGGGAGCCCTACTCTGCCCTTTTCCCTCCCCCACCCGCCTCCGCCTTTCACACATCATCGGGTACCCAGCCTGGGAGGTGTTGCCTGAGGTAAGGGGAACACAGGCCTGAGAATGGGGGTGCACTGGGAATGATGGAGAGCAGGAGAAAAGAGGGTGGGGGTGGGAGGGGCGGGCCTCCAACGTTGGATAGAACAATAGAAAACAGAGATAGAGAGACAGGAAGGCAGAAGATGAACAAATAGACAGTGGGGAGCAAAAAAAGATAAATCAAAGGATGCACAGGCAGGCAGGCTGGTCAGTCCTGTCCCCGGAACCCCCAGGACGTGGTCAGGGCCCTTGACAGGAGAGTGTGGAGTGGGCAATCAGTCACCCCAGAACACTGAGAATAACCACCGGTTTTTCCCTTTCAATCCTGTCGATCATGGGAGGGGGAGGCGGAGGGGGGCTGACATATCAGGTGCAAATGAGAAGAATGATAGGGTGGGGCCTTGGTTGGGGGAGGGTCTGTTCATCGTCCCATGTGGGAATGGCCTCACAGCAACATGCAAATGAGCATGCAGCAAATAAATGATCCGGGGGCTGTTTCCTTGCGAGGTCAGGCCACAGAAATCGCGGCGTGTGTGTTTGTGGCACGGAACCTCTGGAAGAGGATAGATGTAGGGAGACCCTCCCCCAGCCCCTGAGGGGGAGGGGAGACCTGAGGCTTCAGAGAGAAGATCCCCCAGCGTCACTCCGTCACTCCGCTGAGTTGTGTTCAGGCGGGAGCTCAGGCTGGGCGGGCCCTGCATGTGCCCGTCTGGCCCAGGAAGATAAGCCCGGCAGATGGGCTGGCCCATTGTTGACTAGGAAAGACCCTCGGGGATCTCAGGCTCCCGCCTCCCAGACGTGGTCCTTTCGGGTTGGTTATGTCAGCTTGTTGAGTTCAGTCTAAGACACTGCCCCCGTCGAGGGCCAGGCCAGGTGCCGCCAGCCGTGGGAGGTACAAAAGATGGTCACGCGTGGGCCTGAGCTCCAGGATTCAGATCCGCGTTGCAGGAGAAGAGCCTTTAACTCAGAAGCCGTGATCAATACCGGACAGTATCCTCCGAGTGCCAGAGGAGAGGGGTGGGAAAAGCAAGTCCATGGAAACCAGGAGAGGGGCTGGGCAGTGAGGGCCCACAGGAGAAGGATGGGAGGTGTCCAAGCAGGGGCCATAGCCTCCATGCCTACACCTCCTATGGGGGGCGGGGGGTGGTGCTCAGGCCAGGGAGTGGTGTCAGACCGAGGAGGAAGCAGACGAGGGACACAAGGAAAGGACTAAGGGGAAGGCTCACCATTAGCATGTTCTCTGCACCCCCTCCTACCCCCTAGATTTTGCCTCCTGGAGGAGAATGTGGCCTCAAGGGGCCATCTTTGTGGCCCTGCCCCTCCTAGGGCCCATCCTGGTCTGGCTCCTCGCCCCTCATAGGATGTCTGGTTGGTGTGACAGCCTGAGGAAGCTGCCCTGGTGCCCACCCCACAAAATCTTGCTGCTTGTGTGGACCGCCATCTACTCTGTCATCGGGTGAGCACCCGTTTCTCTTGCCCCGGGCTTGGTACCCACTGGGGTGGGAACAAGCCCCTGCACCTGAACTACTGCTGCACACTGGCCTCCAAAGGGATGGCGCCCAGCCTGCCTCTATGTGGTCCCTCTATGCCTGCCTAGGATTCCAGCCAGTCCTCTCCAAGCCTCCCCAGCCTCACCCACCTCACCATGCCCACTGCCCCCACCTCTCCTCCCAGCCATCAAAGGATGCCTAGACATACCCACCCTCATTTCAGTCCACAAGAGGTCTCCCTTTGTAACCAGGAGCCCTTGCGGCAGAGGGCTTCCTCCATTTGCCATGGAACATCCGCCCTGTGAGCGTTCCTGCCACCATCTCTTCACAGCTATGCCTCCTACCTGGTGTGGAAGGACCTGGGAGGGGGCTTCGGGCGGCACCTGGCCCTGCCTCTCGGCCTCTATGCTGTGCAGCTCGCCATCAGCTGGACCGTCCTGACTCTCTTTTTCGCAGCCCACACCCCTGGTCTGGTAAGGTGCACAGAGCTCAGCAGTGGGAGTAAGGCAGGAGCAGGTCAGTCAGGGGCAGGCAGGTCAGGTGGGCAGACTGCGAGCTCCAGTGGAGTGCACAAAGCCCAGGAACTGGGCTAGGGGGTCCAGGGTGCTGCAGAAAGTCGGGGCCCCGGGGTCTCAGGCCAGCCTGCCTGACCACCCTGCCCCCTGCCAGGCCCTGCTGCACCTGCTGCTGCTCTACGGGCTGGTGGTGACCACGGCGCTGATCTGGCACCCCATCAACAAGCTGGCCGCCCTGCTCCTGCTGCCCTACCTGGCCTGGCTCACGGTCTCCGCTTCCATCACCTACCGCCTGTGGAGGGACAGTCTTTGTCCAGAGCACCAGCCTCAGCCCGAGGTGGAGAAGAGCGACTGAGGCACCCGGGCACAGGGAAGGAGGGGAAGGCCAGGGAGAGGTGGAAGAGACTGCAGGCAGGCTGGGGGGTCTGGGGGGAGTGGGAGGTGGCCAGGCATTGACGAGTCCCTGAAGGTGATTCACCCCAATGCGGCCACTGTCCTCACTCCCCTGGTGCCAGTTTTCATTAGAATTCAGAGAAATGGGAAAGAGGAAAGAAACTTATTTTACACTTAATAAAAGATAATAAATCCTATATTAATAAGTATTAATTTAGTAATATCAATTAATAAAACCCTGAGACTAACTTTGGGGATGTGATATGAAAGGCATGTTTGAGTGAATGATGTCTAGGGCCACAGAGTGGAATAGAAATGTGTGCCTGTATGTAAGTGTGCACATGTGAAGGAATGTATGAACGTATGTATGAGGAGGGTGACATGCCATCTCTACTCCAAATCTGGTCCTCCCAAATCTGACCCCAAAATGTAGACTTTGGTTTTTAATTACCTGAAAAACAAAATCTTTTTGAAAAGTCAAATAAAAGCAAAAGAGAAAAGTAAAAAAAATAATAATTTTACATGTCAAGTTTATATATTTTATTAAATATTATATTAATCACATATTATATTACATATTTTATAATGATAATTTTACTTAATAACTTATTTTAATTAGGATATTATATTAATTATGTTAATTATATTAATGACCATATCCTATATAATAAAAGTCTAATATGCTAAGTGTCCAACCATTCGTTGGACCGTTTGACCAGTCACTACGATGCACTGACCACCAGGGGGCAGACGCTCCAATCAGTAGGTTAGCTTGCTGCTGGAATCCGGCCAATCGGGACTGGGCAAGATGGGCCAGACACGCCCTGGAGCCCTCCTGGGGTTTCTCCCCAGCCCCAATCATGCACCAGTGGGATCCCTCGGCCTGGCCTGCACCCTCTCGCAATCCGGGACCCCTTGGGGGATGCGGAGAGCCAGTTTCAGTTTTGGCCCGATCCCTGCAGGCCAGGCTGAGGGACCCCACCAGTGCATGAATCCGTGCACCAGGCCTCTTGTTTAATATATAATAGAGTTATAAGATATATTATATTATACACTAGAGGCCCAGTGCATGAAATTTGTGCAAGGGGGCGGTGGGTCCCTCAGCCCAGCCTGCACCCTCTCCAGTCCAGGACATCCCTCTCACAATCTGGGACTGCTGGCTCCTAACCGCTCACCTGCCTGCCTGCCTGATCACCCGTAATGGCCTCTGCTTGCTGGCCTGATTACCCCTAACTGCCCTCCCCTGCTGGCCTGATCACCCCTAACTGCTCTCCCATGCCAGCCTGATTGCCCTTAACTGCCTCTGCCTCAGCCTCCACCACCACCACCATGGCTCTGTCTGGAAGATGTCTGGTCTAATTAGCATATTACCCTTTTATTAGTATAGACTATATATGCCATACTAAGGCCTTTTGTGATTAATATAAGTAATATTATAGATCATTTTTTGTTTTCATATACTCATATTGTTAGTTTTTTACATCAGTTAATAACTATTATAATAAGAAATAAATGTTGTTAAAAAACAAAACAAAAAGAGAGAGATGTAGGCTCCGGGGTGACGAGTGAATTCAATAGGAGCTTCTTGTCCAGCCTTCTTTCTCTCTTGCTTCTCTCTTTCTACACCTTCTCACTGGCATTTTTATTTTCCTCTTTCCCGCCTCTTGTTTTCATCTCCTCTTGTTTCAAAGCCCTAATGGTAGCAGGACACGACTGCCGCTGTGGCTACCTGCCCGAAAGCCCTAATGGTAGCAGGACACGACTGCCGCTGTGGCTACCTGCCCGAATCCTAAACAAGGCCCTGGGGGTGGGGGGGGCAGACACCTTGCCCAGGAGCTTTTAGGAACGTTGCCCGGGCTCTCTAGGGATGGGCCTGGGCACCAGTGTTGTTGAACCTTCCTGGGGAGTGCAAGACCCTGAGAGTGTGCATTAGAGCCATCTGGGAGCTTATTAAAAACACGTATTTCTTAGACCCCACCCGAGACCTAGGAATCAGAACTTTTGGGCTGGGCTTCGGGTGTCTTCACATTGAACGAGCGCCCAGCACTTTGGTCAGCCGCTTGCTACAGTTTGAGAGCTCCAGACATGGAGGGTCTCTCGGGGCCCTGTTCTCTTTGACAACCTGTGCTTCTGTCACCTGGGTAACTACATCTTCTCAGGTGGGGGCCAAGGCTCCCCAGTGGGAGAAGCCAGAGGACATCATCATCTGGGGAGTCTGGCTCTTTCTGGAGCTCACCAAGGGAGAACAGGAGAGAAAGGGTCTGCACCCTCCCCCCTCCACACTTTGGACATGCTCTGCCCAGCGGGCAGGTTGGGCACCTACACTCCTGGGGGGCACACACAGTGTTCCCACCCCCACCCCATCTTTGTATCTTCAGCCCCAGGGCCACACAGGGCACAACAGAGCAGGTGGTCAAACATCTTTGTTGATTGACTATTTTATTGATTGATTGATTGATTGATTGATTAAATGAAGACATTGTCCCATTAAAAGAAAATGCTGACCCACACCCCATCAACCTGCACCCCACTCTGGACCAAATAGCCTCTCTTTGGGGAAGGGCTGAGCACTAATAGTTTCTAAAACTTCTCAGGTCGTCCTAATGTGCAGCCAGATTGAGAACAGCTGCCACAGGGCCTTGCTTCTCCAAGTGGCCAGGGACCTCCTGGGGCACTTGTTCAAGGCCTGGACTCCAGACCCACAGACTCAGATCATCTGGGGGGATGAGGGCCATAGGATGGATGGTTTGTAGTTCTGACCCCGGAGACCAACAGACCAGGGCTTGGATACTGACTATGTCATTTATTAACTGGTCACCAGTGCACCTTCACTGCCTGTGCTTTATTCTCCTCGTCTGTACCAGTAAAGTGGAAACCTCCTAGAATTGTTGGGGAAAATAAATGAGATAATGAGTAGAAAGATGTCTGGCACAGAGGAAGTGCTTAATAAAGGTTAGCTGTTCTAGGAGGGGAACCTCAGAGGCCACCCATTAAAAAGCACACGGTTCTGAGTCACGAGACCATTGGAGACCCACCCTGCTTCAAGACCCAACAGAACTCCCAAACTTCCCCTGAGCTAGGAGAGAAAGTGCCTGCCCCTCAGGTCTGTGGACTGGCCTGACCAGCGCCAGACACACAAAATCCCTGGCCCCTCACCCTACACGTTCGTGTGGACTGTGTCTTCACCTCAATCACATTTTTAAAGCTGTTGTAGTTGAAATTATAACTCCCTTTATACATGTGACTGTTTTAAATTTATAAGGGTAATCTATAAAGATTGACTGAGGATGGTTTGGGAGCTACACTGAGTGGGCTCTTATCCTGCCTCCACTATCGCTGTGTGAGCTTAGAACAGGGGTGGGCAAACTTTTTGACTCGAGGGCCACAATGGGTTCTTAAACTGGACCGGAGGGCCAGAACAAAAGCATGGATGGAGTGTTTGTGTGAACTAATATAAATTCAAAGTAAACATCATTACATAAAAGGGTACGGTCTTTTTTTTTTTTAGTTTTATTCATTTCAAACGGGCCGAATCCGGCCCGCGGGCCGTAGTTTGCCCACGGCTGGCTTAGACAAGTATTTATCATTATTATTATCATCATCATCTCATATAAGCATTACAAATATGTGCCACCCAGTTTATTCATGGTACCAACTACGTCTAGAAGTTAAACAGACCCTCAGGAAGATGCACCATGCCTATCGAGTGACTTTGACCTCTCCAGGGTGAGCTCATGCTGGAGGCCTCTAGTTTCAGGAACTTGGCCCTAGAAGGAAGCTTGATTTGGGCAATGTCCCAAGCCCTGGAATGGCCTATCTGACATGGCATGAGCCAAACTAAAGGGCTTCCTGGCTATGTGCAGAAAAAGCTGGAAAGGCAGGATCCCACCCCAAACTCTCATCCTCTGACCCCAAAGTCGTCCTTAAAATGCTGTCTGCACCAGCTCCTGGGTTCCTGGGTGGGAGCCTCTACTCCCCAGTCTCCCAGCCTGCCTGGGCCTCTTGCTCTACCCACCTCCCATCCTGAACCTGGCCTGGAACACAGTGCCCTCAGCCCTCCTCTCTTGTTACCTAGAGCTGTGCCTAAACGGGGTCAGCGCTGCCTTCTGTCCTTGCCAGATGTGTCCCAGGATTCCACCACCCAAATCATGTGGGTGCGTCTGTCCTTGGGCAGTGTTTTTCCACTTGCCTCTAAGTGGGCACATGGCGTCTGAAGAGGGTCGGGGAGAGCTCTTCTCCCACATGCCGCTGTCCCACCCAAAGTCTGGAAGGTGGGGGAGTGGCACCAGGTAAAATAGGGGCAGTCTGTCCCCTTCTACTATATTCTAGTTCCTCCTTTCCTCCCCGGAGCCCTTCATTCTTCCTCCCTTTGCCAGTGTCTGCAGAATGGAGATGCCCAGCGGCGAGGTGAGGAGGGCAGACTGGTAGGGTTATGTGCACGGACAAAGGTTGGGGAGCTGAGGGTAGGCAGAGGGCAGGAAGTGTTTTCTCCATGCATCCCTGGCCCCTTCTGCCTGCGGGCAGGTAGAGGGGATGCTGTGGTAGAAGGTGAGGCCCCACTCTGTGCTGTCAGGCCCAGGCCAGGGCTCCCAAGTCTGTCTTCCTTTGTGGTGGTGACCAGCCATTCTATCTCCTAGGGTTCCCCTGCACCCCAAGCCCGGATCAGTCTTCCCAGAGTTCCCCTTTCTTGTAGCTCCAGACAGCAAGCACAGGATCCTTTGGTTCTGAGGATATTTTGCTGACCCTCCATAGTGGCTCACAAGGTACCCTTCCAAACACAGCCTGGCTTTGGACGGGACCCCTCGGATCTGGGCTCCCTCCTTCGTCTTCAGGAGTCCCCAGAGGCCCCTTCCCCTTCCTGCTCTCAGGGACCCTTCACACACGTGGGCCCCTCTTCCAGCCTGCAGGCCCGGAGAAGCCCTCTGCCGCACCAGGAGCACCAGTGGCGTCTACTCGGCTTCATCTGTCCCTCCAGCGTCTTTATGTCCGAGGTCCCCAGCACCCGCAGAACTGATCTGCTCAGGGGAGCACAGAGAAGCCCTCTCCCCTCCACCCGCACCAACTCCAACACATGGCTAAGGGCAGACATTCTCCTCTCAAACGCTGTTATGTTTCTCACTTACTCCCAGCAGGTTCTTTGACCCTGCGAACACCCCTTCAAAGAGGAAAGAGCATTAGTCACCATAATGTGTATGATTCTTATCAGATTCCTTTCTTCAAAGACACCGGGAAGGGAGCGGCCCCTGGAATGGAGGACCGAGGTGACCAGGACTAAAATCCTGGGTGTCACCATTTGGCTCAGAGCAATGTGTCCTGCATGGCAAGCCAAGCATTGTGTCCTGCATTGCAGGACAATGAACATCCTGGCCTCCCCTGTGATCCCAACCGCAGACTCGGGGTAGACCCTTGGCCCCCGCCGCCTACCCAGCCAAAGCTCTGGACACCCCCATGTTTATGTCAACAGAGCGGTTGCTAGAGGGGCAGGCTCCC